TTGATTCACAATAGTCTGTCCAAAAAAATAAAATAAATAAATAAATCAAAATAAAAAATATCTTAGTGTGGCCCAAAGGTGTGTAAATGAACAGAACATTTAACATTTTTGGTGAACCATCCCTTTAAATACTTTTCTAAAAAGTAGCAAAAGGCTAAGCTCACTATAAATAATGCAGGCAACAGAGATGTTTTTAGTGTTTAGGGTTGGCAGAATCCCCAAAAAACTGTCCTGCTTCATTGTGGGTCAGTGTTCCCAGAGCAAACCTCTCTGAACTACCCTTCAGCTCCATAATTAGTCTAACGGAAGGCCGTGCGACAGTTTATTAAAGCTATAACAGCAAAAAAGTGAAGCAGGAAACTGTCTTAAAAAAATGGTTAAAAATAAAAGTCCCGTAGAAACCCCAAATATCTTTACTTAACCAAAGTAAAAAAAAATAACTTAGAAACTTTAGATTTTGACTAATACCTAATACTACTTTAGAGACTCCTTAATAATACTTCTTTAAATACTCCTTTAAAGATTTGATGTGAGGACTAAAGCTGTAAGTTAATTTTATTGAATTTTTTGTGTGTTACATTCCCTTTCCGTAAGGAATCTTTAATTGTAAATTTGTTTCGGGACTTGTTTTGTAAATTTCTTTCTTGTTAATTGTTTTTTAAAAATGTAAATTAGTTTTGTCCTTGGTAAAATTGTTTTTCCTATGTAATTGTGTCTGATGAAAGGTAAAAATGTTTTTCAAAATGTAAATTTGTCTTGAGCTTTGTAAAAGTGTTTAACACTTTGTAATGTTGTTTTGCACTTCCTGGCCACCGTACATCTGTTCTTATTAATTCAACTGTAGAAAATGAACCCCAAAACAGATGTTTAGCTCAACCCACTTTTGCAAAGCATCACAAATTTTTATCGAATCAACTTTGATATGCTCAAAAATATTTTCTATTTTTATACATGACATATTTCGGTGTATATTTTGTAGTGAATTATTATTTCATTAGTACAGCCAACAACTTTAAATGAATACTTTCATATTTTTTTTCACCATGCTTATTAGCTGTGTAACTTGCAATGCCTCATGGGATTGTAGTTTTTGTATAAATTGTTTTTGTCTTTGTATGACTTTCATTTCGCATGTAAATAAGATATATATTTTTAAAGTAGGACAAAAAAAGAAAAGAAAAAACATGGAAATCCTAGAGTAGACAAAGTAGGCAGGCATGAATGTGCTGTATTGGTTTTTAAATTTAAAATCAATTTTAAAAATTTAGATTTTTTCTTTTAAGAGTTTGTGACTTAAACTTGTAACTCCATTTGATCCTCAAACCGTCAGTCATACCTCATAGCCCCACCCACCTCCATTTTGAATACAGTGGGAGAAAGTTCAGAGCATCTCTGTTTGTTTGCGATGCAACAGAAAGTACAGATAAGGTTGTTTAAAGTGCATAATAGCACACGTATAAGTATTTTATTTACTCGTCAAACACTGTAACTGTAAACACTAAAGTTATATCTGTTTGAAGAAACTAGAATTTGTCATCTAACCACATCGAATACTCTCTGAAACTACTTTAGCATAGCACATCATCATCTTTTATAATGGAAGATTTTGCAAATGTATTTAATGTCAGGGAGAAAAGGAGCTTTCATATTGCTACAATAAACTTTGTAACCTGATGGCACTGTAGGTAATTATTTATGTTTTAAAGTAGGACAATTTATATATATATATATATATATATATATATTCATATGAAAAGCCCTAGTGAAGAGAAAGTAGACAGGGAGTAATGTGCGCTATTGGTATATTTAAAATATCATGAAAGTGTTTGTGACTGCACCTTGTAACTCCATTGGATCCTCAAACTGTCAGTCAAACCTCATAGCACCACCCACCTCCATTTTGAATACAGTGGGAGAGAGTTCAGAGCATCTCTGCTTGTTTGCAACACATCAGTAAGTGAACATAAGATTGCTTAAAGTATATTATAGTATTTATAAGTATTTTCTTTGTCAAACACTGTATCTGTAAATGCTGATGTTTTGATGTACATTTGAGGAGTCTAGAATTAGCCATCTAATCACATTAAATACTCTGTTAAACCACTTTAGCATAGCACATCATCTTTTATAATGTGAGATTTTTGCAAATGTATTCAATGACGATAAAAAAAGGGAATTTCCATATTGCATTAAACTTTGTAACCTGATGGCACAGTGATGAATTATTTCAGTGTATTTAACGATAGTGGTTTCATATTTCCAGAAGAATAGACCTTATTTGCTGTTAAAAGGCCACTTTTTACACCATTTAAAAAGATATATTTCTCCATTACATTCGGTTCATTTCTAAAATCCACTATTGCAACGTGATTAATGTTGTTGACTTCAGTATGATAAATTGCTTGTTTTTCATCATCATCACACGTTGCTTTGATTAAAAGCATCTGCTAAATTATTAAATAAACACTAGCTTCTTCTTGCCTTGCCTTTTTTAGTAATAAATTGTTGGTAAATACTGAAATATGTATACGTTTAAATAAAACACACACAAATCAAATATAAAACAATGCACTAAAACCAAAATCCCTGCAAATAAAACTTCCTTTTTGACGCCGATCCAAACAGATGTTCCGCATCCCCTTTTAAATATTTCAATTACATTCATTAAAAACAGTCAGGCACAAGTTAAATGAGCAGAGCTTCGTCTCGCAGGTACTTGTCTCTGAGCGCAGCTCTGGAAAACAGCACCGCTGTGCTCATTGACGAACACAATGAGGCAGCCAGTGAAATTTATTCACACTGCAACATGCGCTACGTCCAGCTGCTTTAGATCAGCAAGGAAAGAACATTTCATGCGTCTTTTCTCAATTCACTCATTTATAATGCCGACCGAAGAGCTAAAAACAACCGTTCACACACATCAAGCGAACACACACACAAATATGCTTTTTTTCAGTGTGTAAAGTGGAACTATTATGCAAAATCCACCCTATTGTGATAAAACCCCTCCACTGCATTAGTTATTTGCCTCTTGAGTATTATTTAATAATTATAATATTATTAATATTATAGAATATTATTTTATAATTTAATTCTCAGATAATACTCCATGCCAGTTTTCAGTGCATGTGCTTCAGTTATTAGGAGTTTAAACTGACAAAGCTTCAATAATAATAATATTAATATTAATAATAATAATAATGATAATAATAATAACAATAGTAATAATAATAATAATAATAATAATAATAATAATAATAATAATAATAATAATAATAATAATAATTCTTCATCGACACAATAGTCTAGTGGTTAGCAAGCCAACATATAGTGCAGTAGCATGTCAGGGCATTCTGAGTTTGAATCCTGGCTCGAGGACATTTCCCAACCCCACCCTCCTCTCTCTTGCTTCCTGTCTCATTACTGTCCTATCTGAAAAAGGCCAAAAATAAATAAAATAATAATAATAATTCCTTACATTTATATAGATCTTTTCTTGACACTCAAAGGGCTTTACATTTTTTGGGGGGAATCTCCTTATTTACTACTAGTGCAGCATCCACTTGGATGACACAACGGCAGCCATTTTGTGCCAGACCCACACCACACACCAGCTAATTGGTGGAAGCCAGTTATGAAATGGGGATGGTTAGGAAGTCATGATGGACAGAGGCCAGAGGGCAAATTTGGCAAAGTGCAGAGGTTAAAGCCCTACACTTTTTCGAAGAACATCCTGGCGTTTTTAAACAACCACTGAGAGTTTAACATCTCATCCGAAAGACAGTGCTTACTGAGCAGCACTGAGAGTCCCCATCAATATAGTGAGGTGTTAGGACCCACACAGACCGCAGGTTGAGCGCCCCCTGTTGGTCTCACTAACACCACTTCCGGCAGTAACCTAGCTTTCCCATGTAGTCTCCCATCCAGGTACTAACCAAGCGCAGCCCTGCTCAGCATGTGAGAGTTGCAGAGAGCTAGCTGCCGGCTAAAAAACATGTGGAAAATAAACTCACATGGTGTATAAAGAGCTGTAGAAAACCAAACTGATGTTTTTTTTTCAGCAAAGTATCTGAGGCACAATCTGTAAAGGCTCCCCTGCTGAAAAATCCAGCTTAAACCAGCCTAGGCTGGTTTAAGCTGGATTTTTTTAGCAGGGCCCGGCCTCTTCTGGAAAAGGGGTGGGGAAATAACAGCTTATTTGCATTTAAAGACATACATGACAATAACATATTTTTGCTTTTGCTCACAAATTCATACATTTCAAGAGTTCACACTTAGCTGACGATTGATTATAAAGCTTGTTTGGCATGCTGTCCTGGAAGAGAGCCCTGAGCTCATAAGATCCTCGAGCCTGGGGCTAACTCCAGTTTGCAAGGTGAGAGGGGAGTTTGAGCTCAGGTAGATCTAAAGAGCTCCCCTACTGTAGTAGCTAATAAACAGATAGTGATTGCTCTTAAGAGATGACTACTTACTAGGAGCATGTCTATGGTGCCGATTTGGATTAGTCAATTAACTTAAGTTGCATGTTTTTGGACGGAGGGAGGAAACCGGGAACCCCGGGTGAATGTACGTGAGCACAGGGAGAATGTGTTAACTCCGCACAGAAATGCCTGCTGGCTTGGTAAGGACTAGAACCAGAGACGTTTTTGCTCTGAGGCAACAGTTCTAACCACTGGGCCACCGTGACACCCATTTGGGAATGGAGTAGGGGTGAAAAGGGGATTCTTCAAAACGAAGATGGCTGTTATATGGAACTTAGGGTATTTAGAGTGGTTTAGGAATCATCTGATTGGTGAATCATAAATTGAATAATGCGGGACCAGCTGCAAGCAATCATAAGCATGTGATCCTCTCAAAATTAGTTTATGAATAAACTTCACTTCAAGTATGAGTAGAGTTTTTAACCTGACATCACAGACACATATTTCATCTTATGAATAAATGTTATAAACATTTGCATATCATTTTGACACATTTGAGAATGAAACGTAACAAGACGATAGAGAAAAGACAATGATAGTTTATTTGTAACCTTATCTTGTGTATGAACTACAAACTCTGATTTCTATAATCGATCTCCATCTTTTTTTTTTTTTAAAGGTCATGAAATAATGTTTACATGAAAATCAATCCAGTCATCTTTTACAGCATATCTCGCTCTTCTTTTTTAAAATCTTTTAGAACAGTTTGGCACATGTAAAATTAAAATTTAAAAAGTTTTTATTCGTTTATTTTTTAAGTTTTTTTTGTTTTGTTTTTTTTATTTTCAAAATGTATTTTATAGAAATCTACCACTAGAACAGCATTCCCTCTCAGAGACGAAAAGAAAGAAGTTACGTGGAACGGAGAGAGAAAAGCATCTCGTTCCCTCCTAAACTGAAACCCAAAACACAGATGTGTTTACAGAATGGGACATAATAACCAATAATGATAATAATAAATCCACAAGAACTTAGAAAATAATCCAAATAATAATAATAATATTATAAAAACAACAGACTTTTTCCAAAGTTTAAGACAATGACTAAAATCTTAAAAAAAAAAAAAAAAATGAAAGCAATACTCTGTGACACTTGGTTTACTTCTGTGCTAAACTCCATTAACAATAAGGATCTTTTGCCGTAATTAATTAATGTTTAGATTGACATCAAGTTGACAACACAAAAATGCAAAAAGACAAGGAAATGTTTAGAAAGAGCAGCATATTCAGATGAACAACAGTCTCTCACTTTTTCTTCTACATTGATTTTTTGATTAGAAAATGCACCAGATGGCCTTTGCTTCTAGTGGGCAGGAGGTACGCTCAAAAACTTTTGTTGTAATGATCTGAAATAACAAAGCTGACAATCATAATTGCATTCGATTTTTAAAAATCAGAGTCCCATCTGGTGTGTGATCAAAATATGATACGAGAAAAAAGGTTCACCAAATGCCACATGGCATCGGTTGGCATCTGTATTAAGACCTATAAGAGAAAGTTTTCTTGCAGATCCCCTGTGTGTTTTGCATGAAATATGAACGGCCAAACTGAAATGCTACAAATTTAACTAAAATGTCACAAGTTTATTAGTTTAATTCAAATTACTTATAGCCCTCCAGCCTTGCTGTATAGATTAAATGATGTACTTCAAATGAGTCCACTTTGGCTCTTCCACCCAGACTTGCCTTGCTTTCCCATTTGACTCGGAATATATTGCGAGTGTCAAGCCAATGTCTGTTGTCAGCCACTCGCCTCACCAAGGTCATTGGTTTCTATAGTGACTGTCTCAGGCCGTTCTGATTTCATAAATTAATTCATAATGCCAAGTCATTCCCCCAAGCACCTGAAGGCTACTAAGCCAAAGAAGAATTTATCATTCTTGGTCTGTATCGAAAACAAATAACAGTGATCCAATCCGACTTAAAAGTTTGCATAACTGCTTAGAAAGATTGACAGCGCAGAATGAGGAAGATAGATATAATGCGAGTGAAAGTGGAAAAGCACAATCAGTTTACAGAGTCTACAAAGACATGCCTGTGGCATCTTTGGAAGCTTCAGATTTGAGCGGAACTGACTTTGCCCACTTTTTCAGCATTCTGTCAGCCTTTGAGAACATCCCCGAATGAATTCATTCAACGGTATCCATGGTGAGCACCAAGACAAATGGACAGAAATGGAAATAATGCTGCATCTGTACCAACTTTATGCCACATTTCCACTTAAAAAAAATAAAAAAAACAGCATCTTCAACCCCCTGCCCATATAGCATTTGGCATAGAATGAGACACCTAAATCTGTGTATGAAACTTTACTAGGTTGTCAAGGATAAAGTGCCACTGGAATCCACAATGTTGTATGCCATTAAAAAGCTTATTTTAACTTTGAGATGTCTCAAAAGGTTTTTAAGGGCACACGGGTTGCCCCCAGATGCGAACCTAATCCATAAATCCTTTGGTCCGAGCACTGAAAAGATTTGAAATTGCCCTGCATGCATCAACTAGACATGCGTTCATGACATTTGGCCCGATTTTAAATGGGGACACGTTTTTAGGGCTCCTTGTTCTAAATTATTAAGTGGAGAGGCCAGGTATACATCCATAGCTCGTTTGTAGCAGCCATCCCTGCTGAAATATTAGCCGGTTTAAGCTCGTCTCCCGGCCTGTCAAGTTGAAAGGAGCCCAAAAACTCGGTAAAACTAGCCAACAGATGGGCCTGGCCAGACTGGGAGACCAACTACGACCATCAAATCTGGTTTCAAAAGCCTCTTTTTTTCGGTGAGGATAAATGAATAATGTGGTGCTGTCAAATTCAGCGGAGTCTAAAATGAAACATTTTCTAATGTGACAATCAGAAGTACTTACTCTAAATGTGATGAGATTTCAGACAGATGGAAAGTTTTGTATTGAGCTGCAAATGATTTTTCGAGTTGGGTCCTCACATACGGAGCAACAGATTTAAACAGAGTTTTAAAGCATATTAGTAAACCAACAATCCTTAAAATAACATTAAAAACATGGAGAAACAATTGCTGGAAAAATAATTGCAGATTACATCTTTTTTTTTTTTTTGATTAAACCACAATAGTTATTTTCCTTAAATAAATAACTTCTGTTATGTAAAGACACTTTTGAAACTGCTGACGCACACTCAACTTTCAATGTTCTTGTGAATCCGTCAACATCCTTCTTATACGTCTTGTCTACTGTGTCTTTGCTTCGACAATCTTCAAAATCGATATGTCACATACGGTTCCTTGTGAGTTTTAGAGGTCTTTTTTTGACTTTGTTTAATCCCCATTATGAAAAGCAGTTCAGATCTGGGTTTCTTGTACATTGTCTTTTGAGCTGGCCCGAATTAGTAAAGGTTCGTGGGCAGAGCTGTGTATAGAATTGATGGTGGAGGCATGGTTGTATGCAGTTTTGTAGGCGTTGTAATGATTCAGGTGCTCATGATCAAGTGGGGGCAGGGCTAGGTGGCTCTCCATGGCAGGTCCACCCGTCATGCAGTCCTCATCCACATTGATGATCTCGATGGCTCGCGTTGGCGCGTGGTGGTTCTGCTGGTGATGCTGTTTGCGCATTTTATAAAATATAATCAGCATGACAGCTGCCATGAGTGTGATAGCCACAAAGCAACCGATGATGATCTTTGTGGTCTTCATGACCTCATCCAAGGTGTTGAGGGAGCCGTCGCTCTGAGCTGTGACAGGGATGGTGTAGGTCTTGTCGGTAGCCTTTGTAGACAGTGGCGTCCGTGCTGTGGTCGTGGTGGTGGTGAAGGAAGGTGGCAAGGTCTCCCAAATTCCAGAAGAGGGAGTGGGCCCATTCTTTTGCTGTACTGTTGGGTGGCCCTCATCAGGTGGAGCTTCTGTGGTCTCGACGGTAACTGTGGTGAAGTAACTGAAGCTGCTGTTCTCTGTTGAGGACACATTAAGTGTAGCAGAGGCTGTAGTGTTGCCTGCGGAGTTGCTCACCATACAAGTGTATGTTCCTGTGTCCTGCATTGTGACATTGGTAAAGTTTAACGTCCCATCATTGAGCACAGAAATGCGTATCTTGTACGCCCCGTGTGTCATAATAGACCCATTAGGTGTAATCCAGCTCACCGAGGTCAAAGAATTTGCTCGACATTTCAGTTCTGCCGCCATGCCCTCGGTTACGTTCAGATCCGCAGGAGGCTCCACGATTACTGGTGCATAACAATGGAAATAATTCTGGTCGAGTTCACCAATGTAGCGACCTTTGTGGCTGGTAGGTGATGAACAGCGGGCACAGCAACTGGTATTGGCCGGTACCATTTCCTTTAGCCACCAACTGAGCCAGAGGATGTCACAGTTGCAGTTCCAAGGGTTGTGGTGCAAGTGCACCCTCTCCAAGTGGTGAAGTGGGGTGAAGAGGTCATGGGGCAAGAGTGTAAGGTTATTGTGGGCTAAATTGAGCTCCACAAGGGACTGGAGATCATCGAAGGCATTTCTCTCAATCGTCTGGATCTGTGCATGCATCATCCACAGTTTCTGTAAATGGACAAGGCCTTTGAAAGATCCTGGCCTAATTATAGAGAGCTGGTTTCCTGACATCTCCAACTCATCTAAACGAACAAGAGGAATGAGGTTGGGGATCTCCTTCAAGTTGCACATACCAAGGTTCAGGTACCGCAGGTTGCTGAGGCCTTCAAAGGCACCTTCTGAGATATATGACAGCCTTTTCAGTTCACCCAAGTCCAACCTTCTCAACGATGGTACACGGTTGAAGGCATAAGAGGGTATACTCTCGATAGGGTTATTCCTCAACCAAAGCTCCTTAAGTTTAGACAGGTACTCGAAAGCCCCATTGGGAATTGTGGTTAGTCGATTATCAAAGAGCTCTAGTGTGTTGAGATTGGCCAGCCCATTGAAGGCTCCGATTTCAATGTTACGAATGTGGTTTTTGCTGAGCTGCAGAATCTCCAGGTGTCTAAGATGTTTAAAGCTGTCCACCTTAATCACCTGGATGAGGTTCTCCTGAAGGTTCAAGTATCTTGTGTTGGTGGAAATACCATCAGGTACATCTCGAAGGCCACGGCGCGTACAGATGACCTTGCTGAACTGGTTGCTACAAGAGCAGACGGAGGGGCAGGTCTGTGCTCGCACCAGACCAGCCACCACCAAAAGCTGCAGGGCCAGCGACAGCACAAACAATGGGTCGGACAGTGCCCGGTTCCACCTAGGACCTCTCATCGTCTGCTGCATCAGGGAGGAGGTCATCTTGTTTATCATTCATAATTCGCTGACAGGTTCTCCACTCTTTGGGAAAGGTTTTATCAGGCCAAACTGTAAAAAAAGAGAAAGAACCATGTAAGTTTTGAAATACTACTATAAGCAACACTGACAAACACAAATCAAAGCTAAAACAGATAGATAAAACACATTAAAATGTCATAAATATTCAAGTTTCTGTTGGTTATTTGCACATGCTCTTTAGTGCCTGATTTACTAAATGAATTATGCAAATTCACTAACACCAAAAACGCTGCCATAAAAGCTGTGCTGCAATCAATTTGCATACCACAATTCTCCACCAAAAGGGCCAAAACTGTTTAATAAATCAGTTAAATGGAAAAACTGAGGAGAAGGAAATTAGCATTGCAATCTTTCAAATATTCTTTTCTGCATTTACACAGAAGCATAGACAAAATTACAAAGGTAATCACCATGTACATTGAAATCTATCTAGTCACAGAAGTCCCTCTAGACCAGTGGAAATGAATCACAGACAAAACATTTCTCACACACATGCACTGTAGGTGACCTTGGAAGAGTGTTTCATATCCATTTCATTTTATATTTTTATTTTTCTGAGTGTGTGTGGTGTCTGTGGGTTCATGTCTTTGCACGCACAACACTCTCAATCTAAGTCACATAAAGCTGCGCCCAATATTGGGTCTGCTTTCTCTGTTTCCTCCTCTCCTCAGGCAGGGAGATATGAGCTGCCTTGTCTGTCTGTGTCACTTTATTTATTCCTGCAGAGGAGGCATAAATAAAAGCATGGCTTCCCACCTACCGATCCTTCAATCAACCCCACGAATCCAGAGCATTGGGCTCTCAGAGATACTTAAAGCCACGTGTGTGACTGGACTATGAATAAAACCTGGGACAGGAAATGTGTGGCCAGACATATAGTGCACCCTACTACTCTCTCTACTATTAGATGAATATGTGACTCATTTCTTTGTATCTATTCCAAATGGAATCAGTCAGGTCAGCTAGTCAGTCAACAATCAACTAGTGACTATAAATTTAGAACAGGGGTGTCTTGCCTGGGGATTTTTAGTAAGTCTGAATGCCCCATTGGAAATTCAGGTTAGACGATTATCGAAGAGCTCTACTGTGTTGAGGTTGGCTAGCCCATTAAAGGTTCCAATTTCAATGTTTCAATTGTGGTTTTTGCTGAGCTGCAGAATCTCCAGATGTCCAAGATGTTTAAAGCTGTCGACCTTAATCAATTGGATGAGGTTCTCCTGAAGGTTCAAGTATCTTGTGTTGGTGGAAATGCCATCAGGTACATCTTGAAGGCCTTGTTTAGCTAATTGTGGCTACTTGTAAGTGAAACACTTTTTTCCCTCTCAATATGCACCAGACACCTTAAAAACACCCCTTGCTTCTCAGAATTTTTGTGCAATTCCGAGTGTGCTCCACACAGGAGAGTGGGCCTGACTAAACACCTCAAGTAGACACATCGTTTTCCTCCCCAAGTGCACCCCATACCTTCTTAATATCACTATATACTTTCTAGAAAACATTGTGCAATTCTAAACTCAAATGAGTGGGCTTGACAAACCACCTGTAGGACACACTTAAGACACTTAGGAGACACTAGCTTAAGACTTGTCAAAGCATTTACATACGGCTACTCTTTTGAGGTAATGCTTTTATCTTTACTTGTACCATTCATTCATTTTCTTGTCGGCTTAGTCCCATTATTAATCTGGGGTTGCCACAGCGGAATGAACCGCCAACTTATCCAGCAAGTTTTTACGCAGCGGATGCCCTTCCAGCCACAACCCATCTCTGGGAAACATCCACACACACACTCATACACTACGGACAATTTAGCCTACCCAATTCACCAGTACTGCATGTCTTTGGACTGTGGGGGAAACCGGAGCACCCGGAGGAAACCCACGCGAAGGCAGGGAGAACATGCAAACTCCACACAGAAACGCCAACTGAGCCAAGGTTCGAACCAGCGACCTTCTTGCTGTGAGGCGTCTGCACTACCTACTACGCCACTGCCTCGCCCTACTGTACCACGTTTTGGTTAAATGTGTCTGCTAATGTAAGTGTAATTATTTAGAGGTAAAACTTTACACTTTTTAAAAAGACAGAGGACATTCATGAATGGATTTGAACACCTGATTCTTTACTTCTACATTTCTGGAGAATTAAAGCCAGGCTCTTAGCATTCTTTCCACCATGCTAGGTAATGTCTTACCTAAAGGTTACCCACAAATGTCTTGCCTAGCAAATTTAAACCTAAATTTTCCTAATTAAATAAAGCTTTCTCAAGATTGACCAGTCATGCAGACAACCCACTGGCTACAAGATTATGAAAATTTGCTGCTAATATACATATCACTACTGCAGACAAACTGAGCACTAGGAAAAGCCACGCACAGTCGGTTTGTAGAACCCGAAGGAGCGCTGTTGAACATGGATGTTCTTCCCTGTGGGCATAACAGCATCATGTAAAAGAAACTGCAAAGCTCGCTTCAACACTTTTCATTCTCTTGCCTGCCTTTCCTCTTCCTCTCTGCAGGGTGCTGGTCTAAACCTAATAGTGACTGCCATAACAATCAATTCTCTCATCACAAATCTACTTGAATAGCTGCCAGGAAGTCTTCTAGACAGCTTGTGAAGACCATGCATGAACCATACTCAACTGCATTATCGCTATATATTATAAAGCAGACTGACTTGCAGTAGTTAAACGATACGCCCAATTTTGCTTCATTTAATTGAATTTCACGCAGAGATAATTGTAACATATATCTAGCATGTAAACGATCAATTACAAGGACAGATAAAGCTTTAACTTTTCAGAATCTTAAAAAAATCTGAAAATCCCTACTGGTTTCAAGTATGGGTCTGGTTTATCTTCCTTGATTTGATTTTACACTAATAAAATAGTGTAACACAATCTAGGTTGCTCCAAGTTGAGAGAGAAGGGAGAAAAGAGGAGCAAACAAAAAAAGCACTCCACAGAAATCCTGCTGCTTCTCAAACAATGAGCCTGGCAAAATTGGATTTCGTGTGGGAAGGGAATTAGATGAAAAAACGATAAACAAAAAATAAGATTATGAAATGAATACATTTTTAAACTTCAGCCCCAGTAAGCAATGAGAAAGCAGGCGGTAAACGCTTCAGCAGGGAGGGAGGTAAAGAAGAGCATCAAGCGGAGGAAGCCTTGAAAGGCGCGAGGTGTAACGAGGTGAATTAATTTTTTCAAATAACATGAAAGTGAATGCCATTGCTGCTGACAACAATACGGCTGTGTGCTTCTCTGCACAGTGTGGCCTCGAAAAGCTTCTGTACTTTCCGTCACACGCTGGGGTGAGCAGGGTGAGGTGAGAACAATTATGGCAATCATGCAGTTCTGCACAAGAGAATCAAATGTCAGGAACTGTATTGGATTAATATGGTGTTCACCTTTGGGGAGAGGAGGCGGTAAAGGAAGATAAAGAAGGGAGGAGAAGTCTAGGGGAAGGGAGGAAAACAAGAGAATGGGGTAGAAAAAGGAGCAAAGAAAAGGAAATAAAAGCAGGAGGGAACATGAGGCAAAAAGAGGAAGTAGAAAGTAAGCAAAATGGAAGAGAAGATGTAATAACAGAAAGGAAATAGAAGCAGCGGCAAAGGTATGGAAAAGAAAGAAATGCAAAAAAAAGTGTAGTGAGAAGAATAGTGGGAATGCATGAAAATTGGAAAGATAAGAGAATGAAATACTAAAAGATTAGGAGTAATGATAGATGATAGGGAGAATAGGAAGAAGTGGAAAAGTGACGACCAGAAGAGTGACATGACAAAGAAAGGCAGAGAAAGTTTAAGTTAAATGGAGGGGGGGAGGAGGAGGAGGAGGATACAGAAAGGAACATGAAGATATAGGGAAGAAAGAAGAGAACAAGAGGAAGAAGAATAATGGAGGAGGATAGAGAAGTAGGAAGGAATGCACAAGCAAAAGAAAACAGAAGTGGGGAGGTGGAGATGAAGAAGATCAATGGAAAAGAGGTAGGGGGAAAAGATGGGGAAATCCATTTAGAGGAGGTGATAAGGTGTTGAGTGCAAGGGAAAAGAAACAGAAGGATGCAGAAAGGACAAGTGAAAAAAGAAAGCAAGGTGAAGAATAAGAAAAGGAGAATTAAGGAAGAAAGAAAAGTTGGAACGAAAGCACAAGAAAAAGAAAACAGGAGTTGGTAGGTGGGGATGAAGATGAAGAAGTGCAAGGAAAATCATTTAGATATAAAAGGAAAGGAGGAAAACAAGAAAATAGAATGCATGAGGAGATGGAAGAGAAGAAGAATGGAAGAGCAAGAAAACAGGAAAGAGTGTACGAAAAACTGGTTACAAAGAAAGAGGAGACTAGGCAGAGGGGAAGAAAAGTACGAAGGAAAGGAGAAAAGAAAAAGGACTTAAAGGTAAAAGGTAAGGATGTAGGGTAGGGAAGAGGTAGGGTAAGACAGGTGGAAAAGAGGGCAAGAAAAAAAGGAACAAAATGATGCAGAAAGGAGAAGTGAAGAAAAAAGAGAGCAAGATGAAGAATAAGAGGAAGACGAATGGTAGAGGAAAGAGAAGTGGGAAGGAAAGCAAAGGGAAAAGAAAAGGGCAGAGGAAGATGGAAATGAAGGTGAAGAAATGCAAGGGAATTAAGAAAGATATAAATTGAAAACAGGAAAACACGAAAGTGGATTGGAAGAGGTAATGGAAGTGAAGAGGAACGGTAGGAGCAGGGAAACACGAATGGAGTGCAGAAAATGGCTACAAAGAACGAGGAGACTAGGCAGAGGGGAAGAAGAAAAGTAAAACGGGGAGAAGGAAAGGAGAAAAGAAAAAGGACTAGAAAGAAAACTGTATAGAAATAGGAGGGAAGATGTAGGGAAGGAAAGGTGGAAAAGGCTATTAGGAGGACGTGATAAGGAGTTGAGGGCAAGAAAAAAGGAACAGAAGGATGCAGAAAGTAAAGATAGAAGAGAGCAATAAAAAGAATAAAAGGAAGATTAAGAACGGAAAAGGAAAGAGAAAGAGAAGTAGGGTACAAAGAAAGAGGATACTAGGCAGAT